AATGCGTCAATTTGTCATCGACAGCATCGGTCAGCTGTCTGAAGGCCTGACAAACAAAGCCTACAATGCCGAGATGCTGCAAGTCCTGGACGCCTGTGATGATTGCTTCGATTGGGGGTTCCTCTGCTTCCAGCGTCCTCTCAAGCGTCACGCGGACGCCTTCCGCAATGTGTTGGGCATGTTGAAGCCCTTCTTGCAGCATTCGCTCTGGCCACCAGCGTCAGCGTCTGACTATGCCCTGGTCAAGAGGACATGGGACCTGCCAGAGAATGTTCTGCTGCTGCAATATGGTTGGCTTTGTGAGAGAGTCCGATGCACGGCTTCCCTAGCATTCCGGCGTCAGGGCTGGAGCGGAAGCTTTGACGGCAGCAAGCAAAAGACGGCGCCGGAGGAAGTGCAGACTGCGGTGGCAGAATGGTTCGTCCTGCAGTCCGTCAGCGTGAGATCGCTCTATGTGCTGGGCAGCGTCGAGGCGTTGGTCGGGAAGAAGATCAGGAGCCCATCCGTCAGCGTCGTCTCACTGAAGAAGATTGCTTCGGCCATCTCTCTTTTCTGTGGGTCAGTTGCCGGTTCGACTTTGCCGGCTTCAGCTTACGAGGTCTTCCAGCTGTCGCCCTCCTGCCATGTGCTCGGTGGTGATTAGTTTCAGTGTCAGCTTCATGAATGTTTGGCATGTTCTCTTGAACCTGTGCCAGACTGTGTGCGCGAGGTTTGGGTCCTGTCGGGGGAATGCGAAAGAAGCGCAAGCGTGATATCCTGGACATGCAGATGATGGCAGTCGGCAGCATCGCGACCATCTGCCAAGGATCCCACTGTGGCAAGCTTGTCGTTGTCGACACGATGGATTCTGGGCTCGGCCACGATAAAGCTTCGAAAGAAAACATAAGCATCGTGATTATTGATGTTAAATATGTGGCTGTATGCCGGGTCCAATTTTTTGAACTGAGGAGTTCGCAGTCAACTCTGCAGCTGTCAGTGCTACAGTCGACATGCACAAGTTTTTCCATGTGGGCCAGCCGTCAGCGTCTGCTACGGGGTCAGTATCGGCGTGGCACGCGGGTCGCATTCACCACAGGTATCGGATGCTGAATCCAGCCTCTTCCATCGTTGAAAGACTTGGCTCCATCGCTCATCTGCACTGGAATCCTCGGGAGCACATGGCTCCCAGGGTCTACGTCGACAAGCTCCTGCTGTCGGCCGCCCGCGTCAATGTCTTGGGGAACCCGCGGGACGAGCTCATCGTGAAGGAGGTGTCTGCTGTCATGGAATCTGATGGCCATTTTCAGAAAATTTTATACCTTTCTGCTGCTGTTCGAATCTGGCAACAGCCTGTATAATAATAAGTATTAATAGTAGGTAGGCAGTGATGTAATTTTTTCGTATACTCGGTCATCGGAGCCTGAAGGAGAGGACACGCAGCAGACGGCGTTGGGCGTCTGAGTCGGCGTTGGCCCGTGTTCGTCAGCTGGATGCGACAGCGTCGACGTTCCACAGCGTCGGCCTGGATGCCGCGGCCCGCTACGACGAAGAGGACGTTTTCGACCTGCTGCGTCCCGTGGACATGCCCTCAGCCGTCGGCGTCACCAACAGGACCATGATCCGACGGCTGAAGTCTGCGTCTAAGCAGGCGGAGCTGCCGGCAAGCGTGGACAGGCTGATGGACCAGCTTCAGGGTCAGCTGGCGAACAAGGGCGTGCTGGATGCCCTCCCAGTGTCAGCGTCGGTCTCCAGGAAGAAGCAGACGGCCATGGAGACTGATCGGCTGAGGGAGTGGCTGCAGTCAGACGATGGCAAGGCATGGAAGTCCCAGCGGGCGGAGACTTGGTCTTCTGCCAGCTGGGCGCCTGCGTCGTCGGCGTCTTCGGGGTCGACCGCCGCAAAGCCTGCCTCGTCGGGGTCGATAGCCTCAATGCCTGCGTCGGGGTCAATGGCCGCAAAAGCTTCCTGCCCCGGATTGTTGGCATGGTTTCCTTATTTTGGCATGGTTTCCTATCCTTCGTCCATTAGACTAGAATCTAGAGCCAATAAGTTAAGAAAGGGACGAGACTTAGACTTAGTAGTTGTAGTGCAACAAATTCGACAACTACTGAGGCTAAGACCCAGACTGCAGCGGCGAAGGCCAAAAGCGCCAAAACGAAGCCGAAAGCTGCCGGGTAGATCTCATGCATTCGGCGTCAGTCAGACCAATGGGCTGTCAGCCCGCTTCACGAAGTGACGTTTCACAGTCTTATCGGCATTCTCCTTTGAAAACTCAAGTTGAGAGAGCCCGTGACAAGTCAGACACAGCGTGCTTCTTGCAAAAAGGGAGAGAAGAGAGAGAGGGAGAGATCCGTGATATTGTGGGATTGTGTCGACCACAAAGACTATGCGTGACAACTTTTCACTATCAAAGGTGCCAGCATGGACATTGCTGATGATGAGTCCGACAGTGGACTCTTTGTCTTTGACGAGGACGGTGATATTGCGGTCCGAGTTTGATCCATTCCGGCAGTCTGTATATTATATGTCTGCATATAATATGCAACTAACTAATGAATAAATGAATTAGTCTACCTGTAGCTTCATGCAGCATGAAAAGGATGATGACACGGCATCAGCCCAGATGGATGCTACAGAGGATGATGTGGCTTGGTTTCGACAACAATGCAAAATGTCTTTTGCTGGAGCCTCTGTTTGTTATTGTTGGGGCTCCGTCACTGAAACACCGGCAAGGACCACGTCGAACTTGCTTCGTCGTCCTCGTCGGCAAAGCCCCACAAACGCCGGCTGGATGATGCGCTTCAGCAGGGTCGGAATGTTGCTTTGAGAACTGCTCCTCAAGTGTCGGTGTCGGCACTGGAGTCCGCGTTCCGATGGCCCCAGATACTTCTGGCATGTCTGTGTCAGATGTTTGGGCCAGAAGGAATGGCCGGTGTCTTGGACAAACAAGTATTTGTTTTTCATCGTCTTGGTCTTCCAAAGACAGAGAACAATTATGTGTTGATATCACCGGTTTCCGAGGCAGTGGGCTTACCAGAGATATGACAGTGTCCAGCCACTTTTCTGGTGTGGGCACAGTGGAAGTGGCCGTCGGCGTCGTCCATGCTAACCTGCCGCAATTTGTGGCAGGGTCAGCCTCGTGGACAACGGCTTTTGTCGTGGACAAGGCCCGTTCCTGCGTCGATATCTTGAAGGCCAGGCTGCAGAATACACATGCCTGCATCTTCAACGACGTCACGCACTGCATCTCTGACGTGCGAGAGGTCCGTGCGGGAAACCTGATCGTTGAGGATGTCTGGAAGTCCCTTGCGGGCCAGCGCCTGTGTCTACAGCAATGCCTCAAACATGGACATCTCTGCAATGCTTGGGGTGCGAATGCAGACATATCGGGGTCACCCTGCCAGCCCTTCAGCAGAGCTGGCCGACGTCTGCGTCGGAATGACCCTCGGGTGCTTGCGGTTCTGGTCTGGGCACACAAGATGCGTGACGGAACCGCATCTCAGAGCTTTATTCTGATTCTGTCTGTCAGCTTGCTTTGACAAACGGATGAATGGAGCGGTGTTGATTCTGCCCCATCCTACTCATCTGGTCTGAGGCCAGCATCCAGTCCAATGGGCCTTGCATGAAAACGTCCAAGACTTCGATGTCGGCTTGCTGGAGGCCCGTAGTGCTACAGTTCGCTTGTTCAAACAATGGTTTATAATGTGTTGGATCAATCAATGGGTGAGTGCAGGATCTCCACCCTTGCGATTGTGCAAGGAGCTGTTATCTGACCTTTACAGCATCCACTCACTACGTGTCAGCCCGTCGGACGTCGGCTTCACGATGATAGCGCGGCCTCGTCTCTACGTCCTCCTGCTTCGGAAGGAGCAGGTTCACCTGGCTGTGGACCTCCAAGAAACGTATGACCGGGTGAAGGCTTACTTCAATGCCAGAGTCGACAGGCCGAACGCTGCGGCCGCGTTGATCGCCTCTGCGGAGGAGTGTCTGGCAGCCGAGAATGATCTGCGTCGGCGAAGAGGCTTCGAACCAGCTTCGATGTCGGCGTGTGACTGGACGTATCTGTTCCCTACCTGGAACCAGTCTCTCCATTTCTCGTTGCTAGTTACAGTTATCGCTGAAAGATAAGTTAAACCAGATTTAGATTTTGAGAGATGGTTCTCAGCAGCATTACGCTATTGCTTCAGACACGCAACTCATGTTGTCGGGAAGGTTGTCAGACGCGGAGCAGCAACGTCTCGCCGACTTCACTGCCCGGCGCCAACAGAAGCAAGGCGTGTGTGATTTGAGTGACAAACTCTCTGCGAAATAGTATATTGTCTTAGTCAAGCGCCTTTCCCGTTTACTACAGGAGATGCAGATCAGGATTATGTCTTCTTCGATTTGTCACAAAACCCCGTTAAGCGGACCAGCTGGACTCTCTCTGGCGGCGCTTTGCCGACGACTCGACATGCTGGGGCGAAGCTCTGGTCTCCGTCCAGGAAACGGTCTCTCAGCAACAATGGTAGGACCCAGGAAGAGTCAACTAGACCAGACTAGCAACTAGTAGTACGGAATCAGCGACTGAAAGAACCACTAGCCGCCTCAGGTTCCTGCTCGCGTGTGAGCTTGCCGCCTGCTTCGGTTTTCCCACCCGGCCTGAGCTTGCGGCAGCTCTGGGTGTAGAGCAAGATACCCAGGCGGCTCGGCTCACAATTCCCTTGCTGGGCAACGCCATGCACGTTGCCAATGTCGGCAGTGTGATGGCTGTGTGCCTGGCGTCGATGCGGTTTTCCTGAGCAGCTGAGCGGGGTTTCCAGCGCCATGACGTTTGTGTCATGTGTCAGTGTCGTACATTCGAAGAACTTAAAGCGCGTCGCAGAGGTTTCAAGAAAATGAGAGTCGCAGTGCTGAAGCTTGTGCCATGCGGGTGTGTGGCAGCGTTGCATACATTGCAGGAGCATGTCTGCCCGTGGCACTTTTGCTTCAGTGGTCAGCGTGTCAGCTAGTCTTCCAGGGTCGGCCTGCGTCTGTGTGTCGCGATGGCCAGGAAGCTTGTGGCACCGACCAAGAAGTGCTTGGTCAAGATCCCCTTGGAGGACCTCTCCCTTGAGCACGACAGCGGATGGAGATCCATCGACAGTGTCTGTGTCGATGGATTGGTCGACAACATCACCTCCGGTCAGTGGGGTCAGAGTCTGTTTGTCGGCGTCACCATCCTGGGTCCGAGTGACTTGTCGGCCGTCGACTCACGACGCTTGATCGACAACGGCAAGCAGAGTGTCGCGGCCTTTGTCAAGGTCAAAGGCAGCCAGGCTCTGATCTAAAGCAATGTTTGTCTTCAGTATTAGCAATAGTTAGGGGGCTGACGTTGACGGACTTAGGCATCCGGACGTCGCTGCTTGCTGAAGGCAAGACAGCGTCGGCGTCAGACACGCCAGCCTGGATGTCGGACCCGGCCATTGCTGACATTCTGGACAATGGCCTGGAGTGTCAGCAGGTCGAGTATGCTGACTGGATGGACCGGCCATTGCAGATCTGCTGGCAGTGTCTGTGTCACGATGAGTCGAGCAATCAGTTCCGGAAGTCAGACATCAAGTCTGTCGTCGCGACCTGTGAAAGTTTCAGGTCACGCTGCGTCGGCGGCAGCGGGGTTGCAAATGCACGCTTTTTAGGTTGTAAGTAGTTGTATTGTAGTCGTAGTTAGTAGCAGTCGGACGAGTCGTCGTAGTCGTAGTAGTGTTAGTTAGTAGTACTAGTTAGCAGTAAAAGTACTAGAAGTAGTAGTAGTAGTAGTAGTAGTAGTAGTAGTAGTAGTAGTAGTAGTAGTAGTAGTAGTAGTAGTAGTAGTAGTAGTAGTAGTAGTGGTAGTAGTAGTAGTAGCAGTAGTAGTAGTAGTAGCCTAGGGTTTGATAATTTCGTCTGGGAACACTAACGCGACACTAGTTTTCGAACTTTGCGTTGCCACATCGGGGCACCTATTCAGTATTCAATAGCCTGAGGAACCTGGGAAGCCTGCCGAGCGGACATGCTCACCGCCTACGGTCAGGGTCGGCGCGCAACGATCTATCGTTGGGTGGCTTTGTCGAGATCTTTGGACAAAGACATAATCGAGAAGTTGTATGAGCGTCGCGACCTCGGCTTCTCGCTCGCCCTGAAGCTGCAATGGGAAACATTTTGTCAGCCAAATGACAGACTTGTTAGTGTTAACGTCCGAGTTGACAGAAAGTGATTGACAGAATAATGACGGATGATAATCATGAGGTCATGGACAACAAGTATTTCACCGGCACCGGCGCAGAAGAAAAGTTCAAGTTGTCGTCAGAGTTCGGTGTCGCCTGCTTGGACCGGCTTCACAATTTGCAGGACGCCAAAGCGCCGATGAACAAGCAAGTCTTCATGAACGACCTGTGTCAGCCCATGAAGAAGGCAGCCCCATCAGCCTTTTCAATTATTTCGTTAAGCTTGTGCTTTAATATGTTCATTCATTCGTTCATCATTGTTAATTATAAGTCTTGTCTGTGCCATAACTGCTTCAAGCAAGCTGGAAGCCCTGCTCAAAGGCACAAGACTTTGTGCAATTGACGACGCGGCACTACCAGAAGCTCCTGGACACCTCGGCCGGTGCGAACGGAATGATTTCCAGGGTCAAAGCCTTTTTGCAGTCGGAAACCGGCCGTCAGAAGATCCTGTATTGCATCAAGAACCGGATCCCTTTGACAGGGTCGCCCGACGTCCCAGACTCAGGTGTCAGCCAGTGCAAGATGCTTGGTCGGACAGTCGTCATGTTTATCCTTTTCTATTCTATCTAGTTTCAAGGACTGCCTCGGTCGCCTGATGTTTTTCCTAATACTAAAAACTTATTCGAAACTGTATTCTGTATTCTACAGAAGCCTTAAAACTAGACTAGTTGTTCATTTATTACAAGCAGAGGAGTATGATTTAGCAGAGCAAGATCATTATCGTCTAATTATTATTGGCATAATCTAGTATATTAATGAATTTCATGCGTATGTCTTTGTAACAAACCATGTAACAATATCTTTCTGTCTTTATATAAAGATATAAATGTCATATATTGTTATGCATAAAGCGGCTATACAGTTAAGTGAGGAATGTCCAGCAGCAGTTGGCGTCGCTCCTCAAGGCCTCCGAGGAGGCGACATCTAAGTCGGCGTCTGCAGCGTCAGCGTCGTCGGGGGACGCAGACGGCAACACGGTCAAGGCCGCAGAGGCTGTGGAGGAGATCCAGATGGACTTGGACACAGATGCAGCCGGTGAAGAGAAGCCCCTGGAGTCGGAGAAGGACTGATCTTAATGTCGGGGTCGTGTTGCATTGGCCTGTTCTCCCTTTCTGTTCATTTCCATTTATGAATGAATGAAGCATTCATACGCATCATCTGTCTGTCATTCTGGGTGTGAAATGTTCGGCGAACGCCGTTCATTTTGACACTGTTGCCCTACCGAAGAGGAAGCCTGGCACTTAACAAAGGCTCCTCTCACACCATTGGCCGGGTGTGGGGCGATGGCTCGCGCCGCCCAGTGCAAGTGGCCGCTCTGAGGCCAACATGCTGGTGCCGGCATATGACAGCAGGACGATGGGCTAATGTGCCATGCTGGAGCGGTCAGCTTTCTGGGTTCAGCGGGAATCTGCTGAAGTGTGCGAGCCATCAAGCACGGGAGGCCTTGTGACATTGTGCTCATTAGCGTGCGTGTTCCCACCTGCGTCTGTCTGCACACTGTCTGTCTGTGCATGCACCCATCTTTGTCGGGCGTCTGTCTGTCCCTTGGCACTGAATGTTCGGCGAACGCCGTTCATGTTGACACTATTGCCCTACCGAAGAGGAAGCCTGGCACTTAACAAAGGCTCCTCTCACACCATTGGCCGGGTGTGGGGCGATGGCTCGCACCGCCCAGTGCAAGTGGCCGCTCTGAGGCCAACGTGCTGGTGCCGGCATATGACAGCAGGACGATGGGCTAAAGTGCCATGCTGGAGCGGTCAGCTTTCTGGGTTCAGCGGGAATCTGCTGAAGTGTGCGAGCCATCAAGCACGGGAGGCCTTGTGACATTGTGCTCATGAGCGTTCGTGTTCCCACCTGCGTCTGTCTGCACACTGTCTGTCTGTGCATGCCCTGCCAGTGCCGGACACCCATCTTTGTCGGGCGTCTGTCTGTCCCTTGGCACTGAATGTTCGGCGAACGCTGTTCATTTTGCCCTACCGAAGAGGAAGCCTGGCACTTAACAAAGGCTCCTCTCACACCATTGGCCGGGTGTGGGGCGATGGCTCGTGCCGCCCAGTGCAACTGGTGCCGGCATATGACAGCAGGACGATGGGCTACCGAAGCCAACGTCAGCTCTGCCAGATTCTGGCAGAGCTGACGTTGGCTTCCGTAGATTCTGGATCCGGGACAGCGTGGTCCTAATGTGCCATGCTGCTGAAGTGTGCGAGCCATCAAGCACGGGAGGCCTTGTGACATTGTGCTCATGAGCGTGCGTGTTGCCACCTGCGTCCGTCTGCACACTGTCTGTCTGTGCATGCCCTGCCACTGCCGGACACCCATCTTTGTCGGGCGTCTGTCTGTCCCTTGGCACTGCCACTGCCCATATCAATCGTGCATCCATTTCCGTCCAGCTAGGACCCGGCATGGGTCAAGGCCGAGGAGCTCGCGGAGAGCCAGCTGTCGAGGATACACATCTACTACAACAGCAGTCGGCCGGACTTCACCCGTCAGCTCGAGAGCGTCCTGCAGCCGCGGGAGAAGGTGCTACTCGTCCTTGATGCCCGGACGTCGAAGCCGAAGATCCTCACGGATGCCATGGTCTACCTTCTTGAGACGGCGTTCAAAATCTGTGGCAAAGACTTCGTGAAGATCCTGGTGCCGACAGGGTCGAGGTTGGAGCTCTTGCACATCCTGAAGGCCTGAAGCAGAAAGTTGCCATTTGCATGCTGCTTGGGTAGCCTGAGAAGTTTTATTAAGCCCTTAATTAATTACTAAGCCCCTGTTCCCAGTCGAGGCAAAGCTGAAGGACCATGGCTTGCTGACCTTCATCGTCCAGTGCTTTTTGGACGGCAGTCGGGGTCAGTCGCTCAACTTGCCCCCGACCTACGTCGTCCGAGGCCAGGGCAAGGCGTTCGGTGCAGAATCGATCCCTGCTGGTGTGGCGATCAACAGGGTCTGTTGTCAGCATTACGAGCTGACGAACCAGCGCTGCACGGACCCTCGCTGCAAGCACCGGCCAGCTTCAGCGTCGGATGTGCCCGAGGTCGGTCAGTCGTGTTAGCTGAAAGGCACAGTCAGTGTCCTCCAGCCAATTGTTGTGTGCCCTGCAGGGCGCCAAAGCCGCCGCAGCCATGGACCCTGAGAGCGAGATCAACCGTGACGACATGGAGGAACGCCAAGAAGACGAGCTCGAAGTGTCGGAGGCGCCTGGTGAGGAGGATGAGCCTGCGTCAGAGTCGGAAGTCGACCTTGCGGGGGCCAAGGACATCTATTGCTTCGCCAGGCCAGTGGTGTGGTACGAGCGAATGCTCAAGGAGATTGGCCACTCTGAGTCGTGTCGGAAGGTCGTTCTGCTGTCGAGGCGCTTCTTGAACGTTTTGCCTAAGCCATGTCAATGTCAGCCTTAGCTTCTCGAATGTTCAGCGTGACTATAGACTGTATTTATTTTCGATACTTGAGACCACACCCTGACAGGACCTCCCACCCTGCGTCGGCTGTCGCCTGCGAGTCCGTCGGCCTTGAATGTTTCTGCTTGGTCGAGGGGCCCAACGAGCACTCTGTCGGCCACGCCAAGGAGCTCCTCCGGTCGATCTGCACGCACAGGCGTTTGTCGGAGGCCCAGCGGTCGGTCGTCGGCCGCAAGAGAATCGGCCCCGACAGCATATCGTTCATCACCGGCGTCAGCGTCCCTGAGCTCGAGGATCCGCCACTGCAGCCATAATTGTGAGAGTTCAGTGTCTAGGTTTTTTTTTTGGATTTGGGGTTAAGGGGTTTAGGTTTGGAAGTTTCTCAATAGGATTCAGAGTTTTGGAGTCGATAATCGATGGACGCACAGAGAGGAGGCCATGATCTATGCGAAGGACGTGCCGGTGTCAGAGTCGTGGCGGAGCGGCGTCGATGTGGACCAGACCGGCCTGGCAGAGAAGGTCCGCAATCTCGTGCAGTCGCAGTTGATGGAGTACTCCCTCGGCATCGAAGCTTCTGCGTCCGGCCGAGTTGCGGTCGCGAAGAAGTGCAGGGCTTACTTACTTATCGAGGGGCCAATATCAACCAATCAATCAGGCCGTCAGTCAAACCGTAAGTCAATGAATCAACCAGTCATTTAGTCAATGTTACGAGTACTTGTTCGATACTCTGATATTATTTTGTCACATGATTCTGGTAGAGTGCTCGACATGAAGGTCCTTCAGAGATGGAGACACCATTGGCCCAGCGTCAGCCCTCTTCTTCACCAACCTGGACAAGTTGCAGGCTTTCCTCGCTCGAGACGGGCATGGGGCACTGCGAGACTTTGGAAGCAACAGTAGGGACTTTTCTGCTAGATGGCAGGGTGCAAGGAATTTGGAATCAGAGCATAATAGTATAGTCCATCTGTCTGACTGCAGGACAGACGGCTGAATGCTACGACGATTTTTTAATTATTGTTGACCTGAGCTGGCAGTACATAAGGCGACCGAGTGGTCAGACTGGAAAACTTCGATCACGGCGTCGACTTGAAGATCACCTTGTACGCAGTCCTGGTCGGCTGGGCGCAGTACCTCACGCCCTTCAGCGACGCCCAGCGTGACTCGGCTCTGGTTTGAAACAGGTTCGTGCCATAACTCTCCAGGTACCGGGTTACGGCTGGAGTGCGACCATGTGACAAGTCTCCACTTTTCACTGAAGTTTTTTCCCCTGCTGCTTCCTATTATTTAATATAACTGTGCTGCTTGCCGCCTAGGCAAGTCGCCGAACTGCCGTCTGGATGTCTGCCCGGAATCGGGGCTGCAGATGCTTTAGTCATGTTTTGAATATACCATGTTTCAGATTTCTACTGCTTGCAGACGTGACCTGTGTCCTTCACCTAGGACAACGGATTTACGGACGGCCTGTTGTCGGTGAAGGTGCGGACGCGCAATGGGGCTGGCATTGCGTCTGGGTCGCCCCTTTGCATCAGTTTCGGCGCCTTGCCGCCAGCGTCGTCGTCAGCCAACCAGTCGTCGATCCACGAGTCGACCCCGGTGAAGAAGTTCAGAGGGACTCTGGAAAACTATTTCCAGGAGAGTCCTACGGCGTCCCCAGGCACGGCGACTGTGACAGCGCAGGACTGGTAGTATGGCATTGACCTACGCAGCATGCCTGTGCCAAGCCTTATTACAATATTGACGCCGAAAGACTGTAAATTTAAATTGTGCAAACCTGCTTTTGCAGGATCGTGAAGCGCCTGCCGTCGACACTGGCAAGCCACAGCCGGCCCCTCCAGTGCCAGCGTCGGCGCCGGAGGCCCCGAAGCCGGAGGCCCCGAAGCCGGAGGCCGAGGTGCCAGCTAAGCCGACCCCGGCGCCGTTTCCGACGCCAGCAGTGCCACCAGGGTCAGTCGTCCTCCAGAACACGATTCGCGTGAACGACAACAGCTACCAGGTCAGCTTCCTGCGGTCGGACGGCAAGATCAAGGTCAGCATCATCTGCGACGTCCAGACCAACAAGAAGCTCCCGCCGCATTGCATGCTCTGCGTCGTCAGAGAAGGAAAGATCATGAAGATGACGGACCCAGTGTTGGCGCATGCGGTCCCTTACAAGGTCGCCCGCCAGACGTTGGTTTTCAACAAGGACGACATCAGCGTCAGCTCGTCGTCGCCAGCGGCTATCGCTGTCAGTGCCTTGATGGAGAAGACGAAGGCGAAGACAGTGGCGGAGCACAACGAGCAGTACAAGCCGGCGTCGAACAAAGTGTTCGTGGCCAACGATGCTCGTGTGCAGGAGGCGTGGCACACACACACAAACACAAACAAACAAACAAACAAACAGAAAGACAACAAAAACATGCTTGTTATTAAACAGTCGACCAAACAATCACAAGCAATCAACGATCACGGCGACAATGCAACAACGACAATAACCACAACAACTCCAACCACCACCACCACCACCACCACCACCACCACCACCACCACCACCACCACCACCACCACCACCACCACCACCACCACCACCACCACCACCACCACCACCACCACCACCACCACCGCAACAACAATAACATCAACAACAACAACAACAACAACCATGACATCAGTCACAAGAGCAGCATCATCAACCACAACAACAGCCACGACAACTTATTTACTGTTTGTCTGTCAGGTGTTGGCCATGGCAACGGCGAACGACCGCCTCGCGCTGCGCTGGGTCTTCAAGAAACCAGGGTCGGAGGGCGGCGAGCTGACGCCTTACGGCATCGCTATCGCCCTGGCGAAGCAGCTGATCCTCAAAGACGGCTCCGCTGAGATTGTGTGATGACTGTGTCTGTGTCTGTGTCATCTGAAGCATGCGGCACCGCGGGTTCAAGCTCAAGTTGATAAAATATTGTCGTCAATCGTTGGTTTGAACTTATCCGTATTTTTGCAGCCGTCAACAACAACTGTCAGTCACAGCTGTCGCATGGCCGGATTCAGTCAATCACGAGAAAGTGGCAGGCCGCAAGGCCTGATTTTAAAGCCACCTAGCGGGATCTTTGGTCACACTGCGTTAAGGAACGATGTGTATGCACAACCGGTAAAGCAGTTGTGATTCTAACTAGGTGTTAGTTGTCATAATACTATCTCTGTGTGTTGTCTGCTGTTGCAGCGTCGACCATTGCAAATCGTAGTCTTACGGCGATTTTGACAGACGTTGTGTCTGTGTCAGCGCCACCATTCTCCTAGTCAGTTGTCAGTGACTGACTGTGGTCGACACATGCAATTTGTCAGGTGTCTGTCATTCTAATTCTATCGCCAGCGGAGCCGAGGGCCTGAGCTCAACAGACTGTGTCGACACATCATCATTCTGATTCTGGTGGGTTTTTAATCCACGAGCCTTTAAAGGACACGGTTTTTTCCCACCGGACAGCCTAGCTGCTGAGACCACCGTCAGCTCACCTGCCGAGCAGAAATAAGACAGCAGCTCAGGCCCAGCCATGTCTATTATCACAACCATAATATCATCCATATTTTGGTGCCTGCCTGTCTGTTTGCAGGTCGTGCCAGAGACGATGCGCTGGTGGCCTCGCTTCTGCAATGTAAGGCTTTGCAGATTCAGATTAGATTGCTCTCATTGGCATTTGTGCCCAGGCCATATGACATGGCGAGCAGCTCCACCGGCGGTCAGTGTCAGTTTGTCGTCGGGGTCGGTTAGCAGCGCATCAGCTATTTTTCATGGTTTACACTCATACGATTTTCTGGGCTCCCAGTGCAACACACACCAAAAACGTTTTGGTCAGCATCATGAGCAGATGTTCAGCATCATGAGCAGGTTCCGTCGCACCAAAAAAACCTTTTGGTCAGCATCATGAGAGCCAGAATTCGCATTGAACATCAGCTATACAGCAGTTCTTTATCAGCTTTCCAGCAACAGAGTTAAGAAGTTTTCGGCCAAGTCGTAACGCAACAGTCTGCTAGTCCCTGTCCTCCGTCATGTGCCTAAGCTAGCTCGCAGTGCCTGGGCCCAATGCCTTGCTCGAGCCCTAGCCGCCGCAGCCTCTTCAAACTCCCTCCGCGCCTGGCGTGACTTGCTTATGCTGCCCAAGGCGGTCTTACGCCCACCCCGCCGTGGTGGCTCCAAACGTCGGGATGCGGCCGCCCAGAACGCTCTTCGCCGCTGCCGCCGAAGAGCGGGAGGAGTTATGGGAGCCCCACACCACTGCATCCCGCCACCAGCCTGGCGATCACGACTCCGAGATTGCGGCCCGCCATGCCCGATGCATGACCCTCGCCGGTGAGGGCGAGCTGTCCCGGGCCTGTGCCGCCCTGCTCAGCCCCCCCCTGCTAGGCCATGAGCCAGGCGTGCTTGACAAGTTGCGCGCCAAACACCCACAGTGCCAGCCGGCCCGCCCCGCTCTTGTGCCGCTCGGCCCCCCTGCCCAAGCCGAGGTCCCCGACTTGTCCGTGCAGCTCGTGCTTTCGGCTGTTCGCAGCTTTCGCCGTGGCAGCGCCCCGGGCCCCACCGGCCTTCGCGGCGACCACCTTCGCGAGGCGCTGTGCACCCCTCACGCAGACGAGGTCGCATCCCACCTTGCCGATGTAGTCAGACTGCTTGCATCCGGAAACGGGCCGCCTGAGCTCGCACCCCACCTCGCTGGAGCTAGCCTCTTCGCCGTCCCGAAGGGAGCTGACGACATCAGGCCCATAGCTGTAGGCGAAACACTGCGGCGCCTCGTCGGCAAGTGCCTCTGCCAGTCCTACAAGGATGAGGCCCGCTCCACTTTGACCCCTCTCCAAGTCGGGGTCGCCGTGCCCCTGGGCTGCGAGGCCGCTGTCCACACCGTCCGGCATTGGGCTCATTGCAACTCCGGCCACACGTGCAAAGTTGTGTTGAAAGTCGATTTCCGCAACGCTTTCAACACCGTTGACCGGGCCGCTCTCCTGCGCCAGGTCCGGCTACACATGCCTGGCCTCTCTCCTTGGGCTGAGTGGACATATGAACGACACAGCCGCCTCCTGTTTGGCGACGCCTGCCTGTCCTCCGAAGCTGGCGTCCAGCAGGGCGACCCGCTCGGCCCTCTTCTCTTTTCCCTCGCCCTCCAGCCTGCGCTTAAGGCCGCCCGCTCGGGCCCGACCCCGCCAGAGCTTGTGACAGCGTTCCTTGATGACGTGTGCTTGGCCGGTGACTACCGCCATGTGGCAGCTGCACTAAACCGCCTCGCTGCTGCAGCCCGCCAGGTTGGGCTCGAGCTCAACCCTGGCAAGTGCGAGGTTGTGACATGTGCTGGCCCCGACAGCTCTGCCGACATGCGTGCTTTCCCTGCGGGCGTGCAGACCAACTCTAGTGGTGCCTTCTCCTTCCTTGGGGCCCCCATCGGCCCCGCCCACTACTGCGAGGCCTTCACCATGACTGAGCGAGCCGAGAAGGCCTGCCCGCTGCTCCGCGAGCTTGCGGCCTTGCCCGACGTCCAGACCGGCCTCCTGCTTCTCCGGCACTGTGCCTCGTTCTGCCGCGTTTCTTACTCCTCACGTGTCACCCCACCCGGAGCACTCCGCACCTCCTTGGCTGCCTTTGACACTGAGGTACGCGCTTGCCTTGAACACATGTGCACGGGGCCACTCACCACGGAGGCCTGGGAGCAGGCGTCCCTTGCTACGTCCATCGGTGGCCTTGGCCTCCGACTTGCCAACCTGCACGCACCAGCTGCCTACGTTGCCTCCCTCACCCAAACTGTTGCGGTCTGCATTGGCCTCTACCCTGCCTACGACCTTGCCCACAACCCCGGCCTTCTCGCTGCCATTGCCACCCACGATCTTGAGGTCGCCCCGCCCGACCACCTACGCGTTCCTGTGCCGCCACAAACCCGACAGCGCGAGCTGTCCCAGGCTCTCGACCGCGCGGTGGCCTCACGGCTCCTGACCCCAAGCCCCGGACGTGAAGCTAACAGAGCTCACTTCCGCCTCCTCGAACTGCCCGGTGCCGGTGCCTGGCTTCACGCCCCGCCCAGCGAGGCTCTTGGGCTCCACGTCGAGCCGCGCTTGTTCCGCACAATGGTCCAGCTCCGCCTGCGCCTGCCCGTCGCGCCGACCGACGTGGCCTGCCCACTCTGCGATGGTGTAGCGGACCGGTTCGGCGCTCACTCGCTGTG